GAGAAAGTGGACAATGAACTACTCCTAGACAAGAATGCTGATGAGTGCCTTTTTCATCTCACTGGAGATCTGCTCCGTCTATGCTTTGGTGGAGTTCTTCCTCCAGGTGATGGCTGCCTCCTTGGGCTTAGCTGTCTTCTAGGTGAATATGATCTTGATGGGATCTGTAGCACCAGCAAGATCAAGTATGAGAAGAAGCGTGAGATTTTGGTTGATTCTTCTCCTATTCCTTTGGTTTTTGGAATTTTTTTTTTTTTTTTTCCAGAGAATGTCCTTTAGCTTTGGTACAGTTTCAGGCTGGGGAAATTTCAGGATATCACTAAGTGTCAGAAGTGGTCACTTGTACTGAAGGTTCCGGGAGTGCTGGAGTGTTCTTTTCTGGAGCAGAGGAAGGACTCTGGCTCTTGGTTCTTTGATGAGAAAGGCTGAACATGATTTTGCTTTCTCTCTGTCCTGACTGGGCAGGATTGTCTTTTAGGGTAGGAGATCTGGACTGGAGTCTTCTTAGACTTCAAGATCTCTACCTTTTCTCTCTACTGCTTTCTTTTTCTTCTTTATCTCTCTTTTCTTTGTCTTGCTTTTTTCATAGGTGGCAATTTTTCTTCAATCTGTCTGTTTCCTTTCTTCTTTCTTCAGGTCTAGGAAAGTGAAAGGGATTCCAGCGATATTTTCTTGTGGAGGGGCCACAGTTCTCCCATAAACTCTGTAGAATTTTTTTTTTTCATTCAAAACGCCAGTTTGGTTGATTCGCATCATTTTAGAGCCTGGATTCTCCAAAAACAGCCAAGAGAATTGGGCCAGAGCCACACTGGGTCACTCTGTTGTGACCTAATAAGGTGATGGTACTACACTTCAGATGCAAAGAATAATTTCCATCTTGGTTCAGCCCTTCACTTCCAGTTGGTTGACTAAACTCAGTCATAACATTCTCTTTATTTTTTAAAAAATAAATTTATTTTTGGCTGCGTTGGGTTTTCATTGTTGCGGCTAGCAGGGGCTACTGTTTGTTGCAGTGCGTGGGCTTCTCATTGCGGTGGCTTCTCTTGTTGCGGAGCATGGGCTCTAGGCGTGTGGGCTTCAGTAGTTGCAGCGCATGTACTCAGTAGTGGTGCGTGGGCTTTAGAGCGCAGGCTCAGTAGTTGTGGTGCGTGGGCTTAGTTGCTGCAGCATGTGGGATCTTCCTGGACCAGGGCTCGAACCCATGTCCCCTGCATTGGCAGGTGGATTCTTAACCACTGCACCACCAAGGAAGTCCCATAACATTCTCTTTAAACCCAAGGATTTCTGTAACTCATTTTGTTATCCAAGGCTTTTGAACCTCAAAATTTATTTTTCCCATGTCTGCCTTATTTTTCTAAGCATTCTGCACATTTCAGCTACTTCAGTAGTTTGTTGTTGAACCAATGATCTTATCCTGCACTTGTTCTGTGGAAGAATCCAGGAGTCATACTGCTCTGAGAACACTCCCTATCCCAAGGTGCATGGGAGATTATGTATATATATATGTATATATATATATATATACACACTCACACACACACACATACATATATATATTTAATACATTTTAAGTGGTTTGAAGCCACCTGTATTATAATTATATTATAAAATTATATGTTAATTTATACATTATATAAATATATGTTACATATATATTTTATGTAATATTATTTTTTATTTTATTATTTTTAAAAATCTACTAATATTTTATTGGGTCATTCAATCTCAGGACATCAAGAATGTAGAAGAAAGGGAAATGAGACAGCAAAAGATGGAAAACCAATACAAAGGTATGAATTACTAAGCTGGCCATTTCTTTAAAAAAAAAAAGATCGGTTTCTTGTCATCAGTGACTTGCCCAGACATCTCCATAGGATCATCCTGCCTTAGAAGAGTCTATCAGGTAAAGGAAGGGAAAGAAATATATTTGCCAGTTTCATATCTCTCATTGGTCAAAGCTTATCCTAGCACGTTGATCCTTGCCCAGTGCCTCCAGTCAGCTGCTGGGGAAGCACAAAAGCTCAGTGCTTCACCTGAGTCTGGAAGTGGTGTAAGTGGCGAGAGCCTCTGTGGGTGTAGGCAGTATTGCTTTAGCACAAGAGATGCTACTTTGCTACTACAGCAGCGAGCCAGAGGACCAGAGAGCAAATGGAACTGAGCAAATAGTTAGGTATCCTAGAGAAGAATTAGAGCCTTGGTTCTCCAACCTGTAAAAGATTAGAGTCATCTGAAGAATTTTGGAAGCTATCTGATAATCCAGTGTTCAAATTATCTATTTCTGCATTAAAAAAATTACTCCAGGGCATTCCCTGGACGTCTGGTGGTTAGGACTCTGTGCTCTCACTGCGGAGGGCTCCAGTTTGATCCCTGGCTGGGAAACGAAGATCCCACAGCCCATGCAGAGCAGCCCTCCCTCCCAAAAAATTACTCTAACACATGGCTTAAAAACCACTTAAAATATTTTATTAAATACATTAATATACTATCACAAATGAATATAATTATATAATATTACATTTTGTATATTAATATGTAAATTTAAATATAATTAATATATGGTTTCTATTTATTTAATATACATTTAAGTGGTTTCTAAGGAACATAATATTAATATATTAATAAATATATTTATTTCATATATAATTTACGTATATATACTTACTATATATTTTATAATTTCTGTCATTAATCCTTCTGTAACCCATAAATTGTTTTTTAGAAGTATTTTAGAGTTTCCAAACTGAAAGCCTTTTCTAGTTTTTAAAAAAAATTAATGTCTAACTTAATTGCATTAAGTGATCAGAGAATGTTAACTGTATAATATTAATGCTTTGAAGTCTGTTGAGGCTAGCTTTATGGCTGAGTGCTGTGGTTTCTTTTTATAATGTTCCTAAGATAATATATATTCTCCAATTGTTATATATATATTTATATAAATTTATTTCTATAATATAATATATAAAATATATTTATATACATATTAGAAAAAATATATTTTCTAATAGACATATGTTACCTAATTATAAATTGTGCTGTTCAAATCTTCTATCCCTCCATGTATACACAAATGTATCAAAGACACTTACAGGACTTTTCATAGCTGCTTTATTCACAATAGCAAATGTGGCAGTCAACTAGCTGACCTGCTTAGATCTCCTTTAAAGACAGGCTCTGCTGTGAGGAGTGCAGTCAATTGACACAGCAGTGTGCAGGGGCCTGTTAGTACTGGCTTTAAAGACCTGACTGTAAAAATTTCAGGGTATTTGCAAACTGTTTGTTAAACACAGCCATTATTAAAAATTAAGTTTTGCTAAATTGTAATTAAATAAATTATATTCAAAACAAAGATAATTTCTCAAAACTCTTCACTTCCTCTTCTGTTACTACATTTTACTTATACTTAGGCTCTCAAGATTATTTGCATCTACTCTATCTGTATGGTGGAAAAACTATATAATGGTGTCCTATTGGGCATCATTCCCCAAGTTCATGTTCAGTGATGTCACACTGGTTACTTGAAATTGGCCTTGGCGAGGGTACTGACATCATGGAAATCAGCGAGTGCTACAGGTTGGCTTTTAAACTTAGAACAATGAGGAAAATGCTAATAATACAGAAAAAACTTAGTGTGTGGTGTCTGTAGCTGTCACATTGTGAACAGCACAAAAATTTAAGGAAAATTCTTTTAGTATTAGAAAAGTATTTATCTATTCTAGCAAAAAAGTTACTCACACATTGGCAGACAAGTGAAATTCTGACATACATGTTGGTTGTTTCACTTTCATCTTAGTCATTAATATAAACAAAAATATCAACCAGCATTCATGCTGGAACTACATTCACCAGTTGCAACCATAGGTTGGCTATAGATATGAGTTCAGCAAAAACCAATGAAAGTACTCTGGGAGAATCAATTGTGAGGGATTTACAGTAAAGAGTATGTTTTATTTATAAGTTGTGTGCTACAATTCTTTATATTACTAAAATTTATAAGTACAATCACATACACACACACTTTCTCCCAGAGAGCCAGTCATCAAACATTTACCAGCATAACACTGGCCAACAGCCAGCAACCACAGCACTTCAGGGTTTTCTCACAGTGTTCCATTTGAGAACTTGCTCTTCAGAGGGAGTGCTAGCCAATGATTCAGATGGCAGGGCTGGTAGGGTCTGGCCATGTCTCCTCTATGAGCAATCTTTGTGCTGGAGTTCTCTTTTTACCTGGCTGAGACTTTCTCAGACCTTCACTGTAGTTTCAACCTTCACCTACACAATTATTCTCCTTTCCCTCTCTTTTCTAAGGTGTCAGAATATATCTTGTCCTGAAAACATTCCTACTCCCGTCCCTTTATCTTTCACAGGAACTTCCCCCAATAACTCTCTTTCACTTCTAACTCCTTCCTGGTATCATCTTCCTGAAGGACCCAAACTGACAGCTGAAAAAATGGAAACAATAAATGAGTGAATAAACTTAAGAAAGTGATAAAGACAATGTTAATGGCACGGATTAAATTTAAGAGTATGCCTTGACTGTAACTGTTACATTATGAATAGCACAAAATAATGAGGAAAATTCTTCCAGTATTGGAAAACTATTATCTCAGCAAAGAATACTATTCAGCAATTAAAAAGGAACAGACTACTCATATATACAACATGGATGAATCCCCAAAAGACAGTATGCTGATCAAAAGAAGTTAAGAGCAAAAGGAGTACATACAGTATGATTCCATTTATATGAAGTTCTATAACAGTCAAGGGAATGTGGAATGGGGAACAGACTGGGAAGGGGCACAAGGGATTTTTCCAGGATGACTGAAATGTTCTATCTCTTAATATGATTTCATGAGTGTACGCATTTGTCAAAACGCATCCAGCAATATATTTTTTTGTACACTTAAAAAAAATATCTGTTTATTTATTTGGCTGTGCTGGGTGCAGCACACGGGCTCTTCCTTGTGGCATGTGGGATCTTCAGTTGTGGCATGTGAATTCTTAGTTGCAGCATGTGGGATCTAGTTCCTTGACTAGGGATCAAACTGGGCCCCCTGCATTAGAAGCACAGAGTCTTAGCCACTGAACGTCCAGGGAGGTTTCCCAACTATACATTTAAGATATATTCATTGCACTGTGTATGTTACATCTCAATACAAAAATAATTCTTCCTATGATGATGTAAGATTTGTCATTTTCTTCTTGTAGATCTGTCCATTTCTGCTGTATATATTTTGAGGCTATATTATTAGATATCTGCAAATTTATGTATATATAACTGAATGACTGCTGTACATCTGAAACTAACACAACATTGTGAATCAACTATATTTCAATTAAAACAATTTTAAAAATATATCTGCAAATTTAGAATACTGCTGATGAGTGGAAGCTTTTCTGCTCTTCTATAAACACATACAATGTGTCCTCCACACTCATTCCTTCTATCGTATTCTAGCCTAATCTTCCATTTGCAGTGCTTCAGCACGTAGACCTGTCTTGCTGGTTTTGGGTCGGACTTAAAACGAATCCCAAGAGGGGGACGTGCAGCCACAGAACTAGCTGCATGCAAATGACTGGAAGTCCCTTCTCTGGTCACTTGGGGCATCCATACCTCATGGGCTTCCAACTCTGGCTTCTGCTCAGAATCCAGCCAGCATCTGTTCCAGTGGTCGAAGCAAATGCTCAGTCAAAACAAAGAGCAGCCTGAAGAAGGTGAGGGAATAGGGGATTTTGCAAGTTCTCACACTCCAGACCAGCGAACAAGAAAGACTTGGTATAAAGGGCTCAGATCTCAGAGAAGGGTTCTAGACATCGCACGCTGCATACTCTACTTTTGTGGTGGCGGTGGCAGGTTGTAGGGCAGGGAGCGGGAGGAAGCTGAAGAAAGGGAGGGGAAGGTTGCTGCAGCCTCAGCCTCAGGAGATAGGGGCTTTAGGTATCAGGTGCCTGGACTGCACCACGCCTGCTATTTTAAAGCTAGGCCTCTCTTCCAGGCGCGTGGTGTAGGGGGAAGGCGTCATTTGAAGCACCCACATCCCAGGTGGGAGATGTTGATGGGGGTGAGATGGAGATGACACTTGTCTGTGGCTACTGCTGGACGCTCTCGCCCTCCGACCCCCACCACTATAAAGCTGAGCAACCCAAGGAGCAAACACGCGGTCCATACACTTGCACTTTCACTCACTGGTGGGTGGACCAGGCTCCACCCAACTCTGGGCTTTTATTGGTCAGCCGAGAAGGGATAGCTAGCAGCCTCCTCCGGATTGGTCGATTTCTGCTAGCTCTCAAGTCAATCAGAGTAGAAGGTACTGGACTCCCATTCTCTGGCTTCCGGGGGAGCCATGTTGGGTAGCGGCATGCAAACCTTCCAGTCCTGAGGCCGCAACGTGATAACATCCCCAGCTTTCTTCTGCCGCCGCCGTCTCCTCCTAACAGGTTATTTCAATGAATAAAAATGCGCTTTTTCACTCACAAAACGTGTCGTTTCATTAGTATAATGTGAGAAGCCTGCGTTTAGGCAGTGAAGCGCGAAGTAGAGTAAGAGGTGCCCTATTCTGCCCACCAGCCCTCTAAACCAGCAAAGATTCAATACTGATTCCCGCTATCCAGGAGGCCCCCACTTCGGGCCTCCCGCAGCGGGCGCCGGTTTTGAGTGAGTTTTGGCCCCTAGCGGCACCTGTAGCGTCCCTAGTTACCGGACCCCTAGTAACCACCTCCCCAAGCAAGGAGCCATCGGGCGCCTACGGCCGCGCCGGCTTCCACGCCCCGGGCCAGCGCGGGCGCTCAGGCCTCGGTGGCGTGGTGATGGCCGCCTCGCACCGAGCAGCGAAGCTGGCGGCCAGCAGTCTCCAAACCCCGGTCAATCCCAGCACCGGAGCGCGGGTCACCCATTACGAACGCAAAGACCCCGTAGAGTCCCTGTCGGCGGCGGCAGCGGCCTTGGAGGAGACGGAAGAGGAGGAGGAAGAGGCAGCGGGGCTGGCGCGGGCGCCGGTAATGCAGGGGCGGGAAGTGGGCTGGGGCTAGGCCCCGGGGGGTGCAGCTGGAGGCTGGTCGGCGACCTCGCTGGTGAGGCGAGGGCTGGGAAACGCGCGCCCTGTCCAGATCCCTCCCTACCGGTGAGCCTGGCCCACCACGTTCTCTGTGCTCCCACGGAAAATACTCAAAACCAAGGCGTTGAAAAGTCTTTTAACTTTAACTAAAGAGATTGTTGTAAAAATTTCTTGGAGAGCATTTACGTTAGTCTGTTTCCAGAGAGTGAAAAGTACAGAACTTTACTCCTTATGCCCCAGCATCTGTTGGGAGTAGATATTTGCTTTTCTTTTTCTTTTCAACTTGAGGAAAACTGTTCTATCCATAGAGGATAACCCATAAAACGCAGGTGAATCAGCTGTGCTGTCAGGTGTGTTTTGTTGTCATCTTGATGTCTTGGTTATTCGTGCATTTTAATACAGAACATGAGAGATGATGTTTAAAACCAGCAAGAGTTCGCTGGGTAAATCAGACAAATATAGTTAAGCCTCCAGAGAAACAAATTACCGAGGTTCCAATGTTTCCACTCGGCTCTTAAGGGTGGGGTGAGACAGCTTTTTCACTGATCAATTTTCAGTGTCAAATGTGTTGTGACCACCTGTCTACCAGGTAGAGAGTCAAGTCTGCCATCGGCTCTATTCACTTAAAAGATGGGAACCTTGAATTTTAACTAGCAATCTGCAGACATAAACCTCCTTAACCCCAAAGATTCTTAATACCATTTGTCCAAAGCTTCTCAGATTCAAATCATTGTGGTCTAGGGCTAATAGAAATTACTGGATATTTTGGAATTCTAATCTCTTTAATCTACACTAAAACTGTTAATGAGAAAATCTGTAGCAACACCTTTTATGGGCAGTATTTTACCAACAGATAAACTACTTGAGGTTATCCAGAGTAAGGCAGATTGAGACCCTGAACATGAACCAGGGTCAGTGACCTAGGACCAGATTCATTCATGGTAAAGCTTCCCCTCAACACAAATTTCAGGAGCCAACGAAGGAGGCAAACTGATGTTGGAAAAAGATTTGAATGGAGAAAAAGGATTTGGAGTCCTGGGCTAGGATCTGTTCATTTGCTAGTTGATATTCAGAAGTAACTTCCTTCAATCTCAGTTTCCTTATCTGTAAAAGAACTATAATAACTGTCTCTCTTTCTTGTCTCACTGGGCTATTATGATAACCAAATGAGAGAGTATGTTATAGCTAAAGGACAGTTTGTATAAATTAGTAATAATGATAGCAACTGCCAGTGGGACTGTTATTTGAACAACTCTCGCAAAGATTAAGTTCTACTTTGGCTTGCTGTGGTGGAGGAAGCAGTCAGTTCTGTAATCACAGGTATACTTCCAGAGTGTCCTGGTAAACTGCAGATCTGTATGAGAAACGTCACCTTAGGAGAGGTTAGTTTAATGAGCTAATTTCCAAGGGGCATGGTCCTACTAAAAAAAAAAAAAAAAAAAAAAGGAAGCTAAGTTTGGAGTTTGACACTGTTTTGAGACCACTGTACTTGAAGGATCCAAAAGCAAATCTGGGTAAGCTGCCACTGTAGAAGGCCTGATGGTCAGAGGACATGGGGTTGGCAGACAAAGCACTGAAAAGCCAAGGAGAGTGCAGGAGCCAAGCTTTGCCTTCTTCACAGTTTGGCTTGGTCTCCACCTTGGGTTTTTTATTTTTCTATTTATTTGTTTTATTTATTTATTTATTTTGGCTGCATTGGGTCTTTGTTGCAGTGTGCGGGCTTCTCGTGGTGTCTTCTCCTGTTGCAGAGCACAGGCTCTAGGTGCGCGGGTTTCAGTAGTTGCGGCACATGGGCTCAGTAGTTGTGGCGCACGGGCTTAGTTGCTCTGCAGCATGTGGGATCTTCCCGGACCAGGGCTCGAACCCGTGTCCCCTGCATTGGGAGCACAGAGTCTTAACCACTGCACCACCAGGGAAGTCCCTCCACCTTGGTTTTTTAAAGGTTAGTTTGTCTCAACTTCGTCATCTATAAGATGGAGTAAACTCAGCTTACCAGAATCACCACACAAAATTGATTAGAGAACCAACTGTCACAGTAGGCCCCTTTAAGTCCTTTGGTTTGCCAAAGCAACCCCCGCCCCACCGCTGGCTCCATGCACACCCCTTGTAGGACTCTGTGCCCATATAGGGCACTAAGGCATATTTCTTGAATCTAGCCTCAGTTGGAGATAACAGTTCATAGACCTTTATGGGGTTGATGATGACATGGGTAAAGCACTATTCTATAATTCACAGTTAAAATTTCACTGACTTTCCTAATGGGATGGCCTTCTATTTTTCAACAAATATTGAGCATTTATTAAGTGCAAGTCACAGACTATTCAGTAGTGAATGAAGCAGACATAGCTTATGTCGTCACAGTGCTTCCATTCTGATGGGGAAGTTAGACAATAAAAAATGAACAGTCAAATGATTATAAGACAGGAAATGTTGGGAAAGAAATGAACAGTTTACTATAATTAAAAAAAGAAATAGGAAGGAACCTATTTCAGTGAGTTAACATTTAAGCCAATGCCTGATTGATGAGAAAGAGCAGCCATTTGAAGAGTGGGGGAGGGAAAAGCATTCCAGGCAAAGCGAGTGGCATATGCAGAGGCCCAAAGATAGGAAGAGAGAGAGTTTTGTGTGATTAAGGATCTGAAAGAAAGCCAATGGGACTGGAGAAGAGAGATGGGGAGAGGGGAGGGGATGAGGTTGGAGACGTAAGGAGGGTCTTGTAGACCAAGGTAAGGAGTTTAGTGTTTATTGCAGGTGCAGTGAGAGGTCCTTGAAGACTTTTAAGAGATCTGACATGTTCCTATTTACATTTTAAAACGATGACTCTGATGGCTTTGTGGAGAATGATTGGAGGGTTTGACAAAGAAAGGAGACTGGGTAGGAGGCTTTTGCAGTAATTCAGGTGCCAGAAGTGGTGGCTTGGACCTAGAGCCCAAGAAGAAATGGACAGATTGCATAGGACTTAGATTAGATTGGATGTGAAGGCCAAGGAAGAAGTCAAGAATGCTCATTCCCACGTTTCTGGTTTGACCAGCTGCACAGAAGATAACGTCATTTACTGAATTGTGGGTAACTTGGGGAGGAATAGATTCAGGGGCTGGGTGGGAATCAAGGTTTCAGTTTTGAACATGGTAAATTTGAGATACCTGTGAAACTACCAAGTGGAAAGATGTAGGAAGCAGTTGGGCCTATGAAACTGTAGTCCTGTTGGGTGTGGGATGGAGAATCTCCATCTGGGAGTTTTCAGCGTTTTTGAAGCACTGGATTAAGTCACTTAAGGGGAGACTTCAGAGAAGGAAGAGAAGGGGCCTAGTATAGAACTCTTAAAACCCTTGACATTTAACAGGTAGAGAAAAAGGGGGCAAAAGAGATTAAGACCAGCTACAGTGGTAGAAGAATTATTGCAGGGGTGTGGAAGTTTCCAATTCATTGGTTTCAATGCTAAGGGAAAGGGGCAAATGCTGCTAAGAGAAGGACACTTCATCCCCGAAGCAGGAGGGAAGGAGCAAAGGGGCACAAAGGCAGGCAGTTTTGTAGATGGGAAGATGAGGGAACTTCCCTCTGACGGTTTTTTTTTTTTTACTGAAGAAATAAAGGAATTATCATGGGCAGTTGGGAGTCGGGGTGGGAGCAGGTAGAAGAGCAAGGGACAGGTAGGCAGGATCTCTGGGGCAGTGTGAGAGCCACTTCCAGAAGGAGCACGGGAGGTACCAGGCAGACCAAGTAGCCATGAGAAATTGTTCATTTTTAAATTTAGTATTAATATTCACAAAACATTCTTTTTCTTTTTTTTAAGTTACATTTTAATTATAGAAGTAATACATGAACACATTCTCCTTTTAAAATTTCAAATGTTATATCGTGCTTGCTTCGGCAGCACATATACTAAAATTGGAACGATACAGAGAAGATTAGCACGGCTCCTGCGCAAGGATGACACGCAAATTAGTGAAGTGTTCCATATTTTTATAAAGATGTTAAAAAAAATGTTATAAATAAGGCTTAGGCCCTTTTAACACTTCTCCCCTCAAAAAGAAAATCTGGTTCCCCCCTCCCTCCTCATCAGTAGCCACTGTTTTGAAACTGATATATATTCTGGGCTTTTTCCTGTCTCCTGTGTACATAATATTTTAATATATGGTAGCATTTTATAGATACATATTGTTCTGCCACTTGCTTTTTTTCTCTTATGTACATTTAGATCTGCCTCATTCCTTACAAATCCCTTTAATGCAAAAAACTTTTTAAATAAAAATTCCATAATTGTAGATGATAGTAGATCGACTATAACACAAATAATTATGACTGCTGATTACTAATGAAGCAACATGTGTTGGAAGGAGACATCATCTAACTGGGTCAAGCCAATCTAGGGAAGATTATCCTGTAATCTAGTGGCTGCATGTACAACAACATTCCACAGAAAGCTCAACAATTAAAGGGAAAGGGTGCTATTTTAGGCTCTTGGAAAATAATGTCCTTGGCCTAGATTATTTGAACTACTAAATGTTTCCTTCTGTGTGGAGACAATTTAAGATGAAATTAGAGTTGGAAGTTGCTTACTAACCATTTATCTGTTTTGGGTAAAACACTGTGATA